ATAGGATTTAAATGGAATGAATACTCTTATGAAGTACTTTATCTCATATCTATCCTTGTATTTTCTCTCTTTATATTTTTATATTCTTACTCAAACACTAAGTTACCACTTTTATATGAATTCAAGTGAAAAGGAATACTTACTAATGCTTAGGACTTTGGGATTTAGTTGTATTTTAATTATAAAACACGTTAGGATCCTTTTATGGCCATTTCTAAAATTATATATGATCATATGCAACAAAATTTTGTAATGTGAAAATTGGGGAAAAGAGCAGTTGAAATATTTTCCACAATGACAATGAATTTCAGAAGTTGTTTTCTCTTAACTAGTTTCAAAATGTAACAATACTAAATCAAATTTAGATTAAGAATACAGAATTATATTGCTATCTTTATTTAGAATGTGTCTAGTAATATTAACATTTTCAATAATAGAAATATGTTAAGCACTGCAGTTTTATTTTGAAAATATTTTAACATTAATATTTACCATTCTAATTTTAATTAGAAATTTACATTCTAATTTTCTATTCCTGTTTATCTATTTTATCCTTAGAATTATTAAATGCATAGATCATTGGCTACTTGCAAAACCTCAAGAAGTGTTTAAAAGTAAAATCCTTTCTTGGTACTTGAATTATTTTCCTTACTTGGTAATTGCTTATTAATTGATCCTTTATTTAACCTTAGACTCTTTCTCATAGGTATAATGATATTCTTATAAAAATAGAAAGTAGAAGATAGCATTAGTAAGTATTCCTTTTCACTTGAATTCATATAAAAGTGGTAACTTAGTGTTTGAGTAAGAATATAAAAATATAAAGAGAGAAAATGCAAGGATAGATATGAGATAAAGTACTTCATAAGATTATTCATTCCATTTAAATCCTATAAAATATTATGCTTTCAAAATATGACTGAGACAGTTTAAGATGTTGTCACTCAATTGTGCACTCACTCCATTGAATTATTCCTACTCATGTCGGTCTCGTAGGACAGGGTA